AGCAGGAGGCTGAGGCGCTGTCCCAGGTTCTGACCCTGTTCTTCTCCCAGCAGGGCCTGGCCCTCTCTTGCTCCACTGTCCATGAGGCATGAGGGCCCCGCATTCAACAGAATCCAGACTCTGTTAACTGCTCACCCTTCCTGGCACAGCTTCATAGCACAGTCACCTTGCACGGAGGTCCAGGACTCCCTGCTCTCATTCACACGCCCCATCTCCATCTCCCCCTGTACTCTCACAGGGCTTTCATGGCAGTAGTCTGGAAACCACTCTCAAATGTGCCCACCTGCAGGCCAGCCTGGGGCATCCCCACCTGCTCTTCCCATCCAGCTGCCAGCACCCTTCTGCAGGGAAGGCTGCACTTCTCTTTCTCACCCTACAGTCAACACCGTGCATCCTGCACTACAAACAACACCCCAAACCTGACCACCTCTCCTCTTACCACTCTGGCCAAGCCACAAGCTTCTTTTGGTTGGACTGCTGCGCGGCTGGTGACTGGAGTGCTGTTTCCACGCTGTTACTCATGTGGCAATGTGGCGGCATCAAGGCCAGTGAGCCTGAGATCTCATCCCCAGCTCTGTGGGCTCTGATGCCTCCCATCCCGCATGGCACTAAAGTCAAGTGATCACGCTCCATGTGTGACCTTGGCCTTTTGGTACCCACCTCCATCACTTACCCTTATCCACTTCACTTTCCTCTCTAACACACTGAGCAGGACCCTGGGGCCTCCGAACTTGCTGTTTCCACCCCCTACCTGGGATGTTCTTCCTTTAAGAATATATGGGGGCTGGACAGTTCAGTGGTTAAGAGCACTGGGTGCTCTTGCAGAGGACCTGGGTTCAGTTCCCAGCACCCACTTGGCAGCTAACAACCATTCGTGACTCTGGTTTCAGGGGATCTGATGTCCTCTTCTGGCCTCTGTGGGTATTATACAACATGGGTGCATTTATATATGTGCAGGCAAAACACTCATACACATAAAATATAAATAAAAAAAATTTAAATATGTGGCTTCCTCCCTTTTGGTCAATCTTGTCTTCCTCAGACATCTTTACGGGGCCTCTCCCCTACTCTAGGCTGCTAACACTCAACGCTCACAGCTCTCAGCAGCATCTCCTCACCATTCATCCTGCCCACTTGCCACTGCCACAGCAGCACCTCCCACACTGTTTGCAACGCACCCTCCACCAGATCAATCCACATGCAAATGGATCCTGGGCTTGGCTAGGATGTCATGGGTTCCAAGTAACAGGAAGCTCTACTTGATGTGGTTTGGCAACAACCTGCTTGATTCCTAAAGTCCAGGAGCAATCTTCCTCCAGGCCAGGCCTGATCTGCATGCCAACAATATCTCCAAGGACCTGATGCTCAGTGCCACTCTACCCATCTTTCCAGGAAAAGGGCCTAGAACTACACTCCTAGAGGTGAGCTTGTTTCTATTTACCTAACCACCTTTCAACAAACCATGAAAACCTTACTGCTGATGAACACATGTGGATAGTCACTATTGAGCATTCAGGGCTGACTATGGCAAGGTACCCTGTGTTGCTTTAACATCTCCATGCCTTCGCTTCATCTGCAGAATCGGCATGATCACAAAATCAGGTCCTGGAACAGAACAATGCTTGTGGGAAAATGAAAGCCAGAGCTTAACGAACACTGACCAGCACCTAAGACAGTGGTATCTTGAAAAATACTGGCCTATTTCAGTTGGCTACTGCTGTATAACAAATCACCCTAAAACAGCATCATTAGCTGGTAATTATTTATTTAATGGTTCAGGAATTTGGGCAAGGCTCAGGGGGCATGGTCTCAGGATGGTCTCTGCTCCAGGGTGGTAGCAATTGGCCACTGGGTTAGGACATCCAAGTTACCATCACATTCAGTGTGTGTGATGACACATCGCCATCACTTAGTGTCAGCTAAGATAGCTGGGACAGGCTAGCCGGGCCTCTACAAAGAAGGCAGGGCTCCAGGGATGGAAGCAGAAGCTTCCAGACCCTTTAAGGCTCAAGACCCCTCTTTGGCACAGTGCCACTTCGACTACATTTCATTGATCAAATAATTACTGGCCAGTCATTACTAAAGAGAAAGGAGACACCTCTTCTTGACAGTAGAAACAGCAAAGAATGGGGACTACCTTTAATCGCAGCTATTTTACTATCCTGTTGGGGTCTACTTCTTCTCAATTCTCTAGGGTCAACCTGCACACAACAGCCAGAGGAACCTTTAAAAATACACAACTAACTACACTCCCTTCCTTTCCACTGTTTAAAAATCTTTGGTAACAGGCTGGGTGTGGTGGCACATGCCTTTAATCTCAGCACCCAGGAGGCAGAGGCAGGCAGATCTCTGTGAGTTCAAGGCCAGCCTGGTCTACATAGTGAGTTCCAGGCCAGCTGCGGCTACAGGGAGACTCTGTCTCAAAAAGAAAAACCAAAAAAAAAAATTTTTTTAAGAAATTCTAAAAGGTGGGTCAAAAAAACAACAACAACAACAACAACAACAAACCTCAAGTAACTTCTCCTACACAGGCAGCAAGGAACCGTCATACCTCCCAGGGTGGAAAAGTTCTGGCCTATCTTTCCGCCTCAGCCTCTGGCTTCCTTCCCACCACCACACACTCCTGAGTAGAGTTGACACTAACTCCTTGATGGCCTCAACTCTCTTCCTAGAAGCAGGCTCCAGGATCCATTCAGCAATCTTGATCATGGTCACTGTGATCTCTGAAGCCACACCCCTGAGACTCAGAGTTCTTTCAGGGCAGGGGAACCATCTTTCTCTGTTGTGTTCCTAATGTCCAGAACAATGCAGAGCCAAAATACTTGATGGTGATTTGGAGCCTCAGAAAATATTAAGGTAGCCTTTCTGAGTTGTGTAGAAAGGGAAGAGTGCAGTCCCAGGAGGATGGAATCCAGGCCTATGCTCTACAGTTCCTCACCTGACAGCGAGCCCTACCTATGTACTAAGCATCTTCTAGGTGTGGGAGTAGACAAAAGTGCCTGCTTTCAAGAAGCTCAAGGTCTCTTGGGAGGAGAAGGGGCTGTCAACAAGTTAAATTTTAGAGTGTTAGAGATATGATTACTACAAGAAAAGTTGAAGAAGGAAAAAGGGACAGGGATGTTAGTGATGCAATTCAGGAGCGTGCTCAGGGAATGAGTCCGGGCTTTCTTGAGATGAATGTTCCAGGCGAGAATAGCAAGTAAAAGACTGGTGAGAGGACTTGGGCTTTTACCAAGTGAATGAGATGGTGCCTGGGGAGGACTCTCAGCAGGGGAGGGTAAGACCAAGATGTAGGTGCTCAGAGTTCCTTTGGTTGTAGGGGTGGAGTAGGGGGGAAGGGGAGGGGCAGGAAGACCATTGAGGAGGCTGCCATGGAAGTTCAACTGACTGAGAAATTATTCTGTAGCCACAGGAGGAGGTATCAGGCAGGCAATCAGCCTGGAGCTCAGGGGTTCTGGACTGAAATGCCAGAGATCCCATGTCCATCCCAAAGTCCTTACAGGACTTAGGCTATCTGTCCTGCAGATGTCTCCCTACTCAACATACACCTTGTTAAACCAATGATTGGTACACAAAGACACAGACTGACACAATCTGAGCCACCTTCCTAGTTGTGTGATCTTAGGCAAGTCACCTAACCTCTGCCCTCAATATCCCATCGCAAAGGGATCACAGCAGTATCTGTCTCCTACTACTGTCCATTCAAAACTATTTCTAGGGCTGGGCAAGGTGGCGCACGCCTTTGATACCAGGTAGGCAGGTGGGTCTTTGTGAGATCGATGCCAGCCAGCTCTACAGATAGTTCCAGGCCAGGTGTGGCTACAGGGTGACCCCGTCTCAAAAAAGATTATCTACTGAGGCTAGGGGTGACGCACTTGTGCGGCATACCCGCGCTCTTCTCTGCCCACCGGTCCACACAGCCTGAGTCCGGAAGTCTCGCCCACCAGCGGCCTGGTCCCATGCCCCGCAGCTCTACCTAGGAACCTGCCAGGAGACGCCAAATCCCGCCTTTTCCCACAACCTAGTCCCACACGTCCGGCCACGCTGGGCCATGCACCTTCCTTCCATGACGCCTCATTCCTTCCAGAGAATCCAGCTCCCTAGCTGGCTGGAGTCCCCACATTATCTCATCTAACTCTCAAACCGACCACACAGACCCCGCCTTGACCGGCCCACATCCCCGCAGGCCTCTTCCTGCCTGCGCCGCCTTCGGCGCCCACCACTCCAGGCCGCCCAGCTATCCTAGGTAGCCTCCCCTGGGCACCAGCCAATCACAGCCCCGATGCCTCTCCAACATCCGGGCCCCTAGCGACTGCTCTGAGGCGGCCTAAAAAGCCCACGCAGACGCGCAGAGAATCCTGGGATTTGTAGTTCCCCGAGGAAAACCGAGCAAACTTACACGGCCTCCTAAAACTCCATCTCCCAGAAACCACCGCGCCGTAGGGGAGGGTGACCTGACTGAACCAAGTGGTTCACGTATTGGCCAGTTGGGAGACAGTAGGTTCCAAATTGCCATGGAAACAAGATCACTTACCTGGAAGTCAGGGAGCGTCTCTTTGCCTGAGAATCTCAAAATGCTCTGCAACGGTTCGAGTGGGACCGGATATAAAGCCTAACCCCACTGGCCCGTCTGTTCCTCGGGGCAACAAGGGAGGCATGCCCGATACACCCAGAACCTACTGGATGCCTGCCTGACACAAGGAGCCACTCCTGACTGTGGGAACCCCAGCTGATGAGGGCAGCAATGGGTCAGAAGGGGGCCTTTACCCTTTCAGGGTTATTTTCCCAGGAAAAGGCCAATGTAGGCAAGGATCCTGTTCAAGATGTGTCTAGGATTCTGTTGCCCCAACCTCCTGCAGCCCTATGCTTGCACCAAGAGCATTATAATGTCCCCAGAAGGGATGTACCCACACCACGAAGCACCCCTTCCCCACGCAACCTTCCCCACCATGCCTCTGAGGGTCAGGGGAGGGAGCCAAGGCCCTGCAAACGCTCAGGCAGGCATGTGAGAAAGCTCTTTACTGGGGGGTACAGCGAGGAGGAGCAAGGCCATCTCCCCCTACCTGCCCCCACCCCCTCCTAGGGCCCTGGGGTAAGGGGGAATGTCCCTTCCACCGGACCACCACTGTCTTTGGTACAATAAATAGAAAACAAGGGGGGAAAGGGGGCCAAGGGTCCAGTCTTCATGGAAGGGGTGTGGCGCCAAACCCCTTTCCCTTGACCCCCTGCCCCGGGCCCCAATCAGTGCAGGCCTCACCCACCCCAGCTGGGTAGCAGCAATTCCAGTCAAGGGGAGAGATGAGGATGGGAGCCCAGGGCCCCCAAATGAGGGGGTATGGCTTCAGGAGGGGCCCCAGGGAGAGGGCAGGGTCATGAGCTGGCTGCTGTGCTCTGGGGTACACCACGGAGGCCCAGGCGAGGCCCCAGAGTGGCAGGGTCATCAGGAGGTGGGAGAGGTGGTCGACCTCCCGTCATCCGAGTCCGGAGGGCTGAGGCAGCCGGGTGCTGGGGGGCAGGCGCTGGGTGAGGTGGGGAGCAGTCTGGAGGGCTGCCCACCAGGCTCACATCCATCAGCTCTGGGGGTGGTGGTGATGTTGGTGATGGGGGACGGCCAAGGCATCGGGGTTGTGGGGGCAACTGAGCCCCAGGCCCTGGTAATGTCGAGGCAGAGGTGGGGGCTTGATGTGTCTTGTGGGGCACATCACCCCCTGCCCAGGGGCGCAGAGGCTGTGAGGGCAGGACCTAAAAAGAGAAAAGAGCTGTGTGTAGCAACAGATCCTTAAGGCCGAATCACCCGCCACCCTTCTCCAACGGCCTCACAGCCCAAGTACCTGGGGGCTGTTCATCTCACAGTCAGTGATGGGGGGACCAGGGCCCCCACAATATCGGTTGCTGTAGCGGTAGGCCCTGTTGTCACTGGAGGAACCACTGGAGCCTCCTGGAAGCACCGGGAAGAGAAAAGGCCAGAGGTGAAGACCTGGGAGCTAAGTCTAGGCCCAGGCTAGGACGTGGGGAACAGAGCCCATGAGAAGGCTCCAACCAACCGTCTGATGTTAAAATCTGGGGTTAGAGTTGTGTGGGGTGTTGGACCCGTTTTAAGGGTCTGAATCTCACACCCTGTTTTGCAGAACCTGTGGCCACGTGGACTCTCCCACCCACCTCAGTCTGGAGTTCGGAATCCGGCAGTTACAAAGCTCTAGGGTAGAGGCCCAGTGGCCAGGCCCATACAGAGCTGTCCCCGATCTGTTATACACATTTGGGCACTGGGCACCCACCAGAGCTGGAGATGGAGCTGGCCGTGCTAGAGGAGGGGCAGGTGTCGAGAGGTGCGGGCGATGTGGAGGCACTGCTGCCTGCCGGGCCCGTGTTGGTGGCCTCGTCGGCCGTGCGGCGGAAGAAGCCATGCTGCAGAGCGCCCAGGGGGCTGATGCGGGCGGCGGGCTCATACTCCAGCATGCGCAGCACCAGGTCCTGGAAGCGGAGGTAGTCGGCGGGGCTGTGGCCCGGCTCCCCCGCCCGCCGGCCCCCGGGCCCGCCCGTCTGCACGCCCAGCACCTCCTGCAGCCGCCGTGTCCCGGGGCCCTGGTAATCCTGGCAGGGAGGGGGTGGGAGGGGGGGCAAGAGAGTGGCCGTCAGTGGGCAGGAGGGGCAGGGAGACACACACGGGGGAAACAGAGGCACAAGAGAGAAAGTGGAAAGAGAAGAGCTAAGAAGATGGGGTGGGCAGGGGAGGAAGGAAAGGACAGACAGGGGATGAGGTAAGCAGGGAGAGACACAAGGAGAGGAAGCAAGGGGGAGGGAGCCCCAAGTGTGAGAGCGTGAGGGGCCACCCAAGGAGGGAGCAGTGGTGCAGGGCAGGGGCCGCACCTTCCTGAGTTCCTTTGTCCTTCGTAGGGTCCAGCCACCCCCAGGCAGCCGCTCAAAGTACTTTCGAGCCTTGGGTGCCTGCTCCAGCATGGGCGCAGGCGGGATGCCCAACACCTCCACAATGCGGCTCATCTGGTCCACCTGCAGGCAGGCGGCGGTCAGGGCCACCAGCCAGCCAGACTCCACCCCTCCACCTCCAGCACACCCCTTCCTGGGGGGCACACCTCATTGGAACCACTGAACAGCGGCTCTCCAGTGTGCATCTCCACAAGGATGCAGCCCAGGGACCACATGTCGATAGCCAGGTCATAGGGTGTGCCCAGGAGCACCTCGGGGGAGCGGTAGAAGCGGCTCTGGATATACTGGTAGATCTGGGGGGGGGGAGGACGATAGCTCAGGGCACCAGCTCTCTTGCTGGTTTCACTGGCACCCCAAAAGCTTTTTAACTCAAGGGAAGACACATCTTGAACAGAAGGGAGACTCCAGGTCTAGATGTTCTCAGCACTCTGAACAAGACTTGGCCACTTGTCTTGTTCATTAGCTTCCAGCCTCAGCTCCGACCCTGTTTCTATTCCCAGGCCTGGACCCTCTTGCTTACAGGGCTGGCCATCCTCATAACCCTACACTAGTGTAGCCTTAAGGCTTGGCTTACTCACACGAGTGGCCAGCATACTCTACCTGTAGCCTGAAGAGCACAAGTCAGCAAAGTAACACCCAGGCCTGGGGTGACAGCTCCACCCCAGGAGCTGGTCCCGCCCCTCAGGTTCACCCTTTATCTTCCTTTCCTAGGTCCCTCCCTGCCTCCTTCACCTGCCAGCCCCCACCCTCCAGGAGGGCCTCCCAAGTCCAATGGCATCTCTTAGGCATTAGCTTCCGTGGCCAGGGTAGAGTCTGTCCCACCCTGTCACCAGGCCCGCCCCTCCTTAGAGCCGCACCCGCTGGCCAAGCTGGCAGGAACTGCCGAAGTCTACGATCTTGATGGCACTGCGCTTGGGGTTGCAGAGCAGTATGTTCTCAGGCTTGAGGTCGCAGTGGATAATGCTGAGCTCCGGCGTGGCCAGAAAAAGCAGCGCTGTGCAGAGCTGCTGTGCCAGCTTCCGAGTCAGGTTCAGAGAGACCCCACGGAAGTGTGTGTTGCGCAGGAGGTCATACAGATTGTAGGACAGCAGCTCAAACACCAGGCACAGGTGGTTCCGGAACATGAAGTGCCGTTTCAGGTGCACTGTGGGGGAGGAGACAGGCAACAGATTAGAAGCAGGTAAGAGAGTGCATGGTATCCTGGGGCCACACAGTAATGAAGGCAGTTCTTGTGGACCTCTGGCTAAACTGCAGTGTGCCCTCAGGTACCATCTGCTAGTGCCAGTGTTCTCATACTGCAACTCATTCGAGCCCATTTTTTGAGACAAGGTCTCACTAGTTGGCCTTGAACTGAGATTCACCTGCCTCTGCCTATGGCAAAGCACCAGGACCAAAGGTGTGCACTATTATGCCCAGAAAGCTTTCTGATTTTACCAATAGGAAGGTTTCTGTCAGCAGGGAGTGGTAAGCATGTCTGTAACACTAGAACTTAGAAGGCTAAGCTGGAGTATCATGAATTTAAGGCCTAGCCTGGGTTACATAGCAAGGCCAGACCCAAAAACCCCTAAGAACAAACAAACCACCCCCAAGGGCTGGTGGAGTGGGGATGTGGGGGTGTGCAGTACAGAGGTAGAGTGTTTGCTTAGCATGCACAAGACCCTGGGGTGGATCCCAGCACTGCAAAGGGCAAAGTAAAAGGTATTGTTAACTTGTAACAGCCCTTTAGCACAATTCTTCCTCATTTACTTTTAAGCACTGAGCCTGGCCTCGTGGTGCAGGCATGTCACCCCAGCCCCTCGGGAGGCTGAGGCAGGAAGAGTGTAAGTTCAAGGCCACTCTGGGCAACTTAGAGAGACCCTATCTCAGAATGAATAAATAAAAGAGGGCTATGGATGCTGTTCAGTGGTGAGCTGCTTGCCTAGCACGTTTCTGAAGCCCTAGGTTTGATCCCCAGTACTGCAAAAAAAAGAATACCAACAAGAACCCCAAACAAACAAAAATCCTCAAACTTCTGTTTTCATCTTAGTTGTATTTATCTTTATGGCAAGAATGTCAATTTTCCTTTTTCAAAACTTTTTTTATTATTTTAATTTTATGAGTGTATTGCCTCCACGTGTGTAAGTGTATCTGTTATGCAATGCCCTTGGAGGTCAGAAGAGGGCGTCAGATCCCCAGGAAGTGGAGTTACAGATGGTTGTTAGTTGCTATGTGGGTGCTGGGAATTGAACCCGGGTCCTCTGCAAGAGCAGCCAGTGCTCTTAACACCTTGAGTGCCAGGGTTTCTTATCTCCAGTATGAGTGCAGCAAGGCCTGGTTCTCACCAGGCTGGGGGTTGGTAATTCATGTGTAGTGCTTTCAGAAGAGCCCAACCCTTACTGAAAACTTGATAGATTCTTCCCATTGTGCATCAAGTGAGCAGGAAAAAAAACATGACCATAGCAGGAGAATCAAGGGTAAGAGGCTGGAAGACCCTGAGCATCCTTACTTCGGGGTGTCCATGCCTACCTTAGGCACCCTGCACCCAGCCAGGTTCAGGCCTTACCTATGTAGTATTTCATTTCTGTGTCATGCTGGTTCATCAGCTCCAGCAGCCGCAGCTCAATCTGCGCCTGGTTCAGGAAGGCCTTTTTGTTCTTGATGATTTTGATGGCCACCAGCTCCTGCGTCTGGTGATCATAGGCTTTCACCACCTGTTGGGGGCCGGGAGAGCTACCAAGTGAGGCTAGGAGAACAGAGCCAGGAGCTCACTTCTCCTTCTAGGTGGGGGGCCCACCAGCCACACTGTTCAACAATCATTCATGGTTGAATGCTCAGTCACTTGTAGTGGTTAGAAAAGAACACAGTTCTCACAGTAGAGCCTTGTTATTTGTATTTTTACCAAAATTAAGACAGATGAAGACTAAGTGACCGGGGACTTGAAGCTACTGAACCACAGGGGGCAGCGGCAGCGGATGTGGGGAAGGTTAGTAGGTGTCTGCATCTAAGCCCTGGACCAGCCTGGGGAAGCCCCGCACCTGGCCAAAGGAGCCTTTGCCAATGAGAGAGTCAATCTCGTAGCGCTCTAGCCACCGCTCGCCACTGCGCACAATGTAGTCATGGTTGTCATCGTCATAGCCGTGATTCAGGACCTTCTTCTCCTTCTTGGTGCTTGAGTCCTGGGGTGGCGCCTGTTGGGCCCTCCGCTTCTTCTTCGCATAGTATACCTGCGGGTAGCCACCATGACAGCACTGTTGAGTAAGCAACCAGCCTTTCCAGCACCTAACCAGGGGCACCCACCCCCACCCACCTCATTGATGTGCTTGTAGGTCTTGATGAGGTCCACAGAGAGCTTGCGCAGTGGGGCTGAGGTTGCGTCCCGGAAGGCCAGGGGCAGTCTCCGGGACAGCAGCCGCACATCAGGCAACACCTGGGGTGAGGGTGGGGGAGGGCACACTGAGTATAGGCCTTCACCTCTGACTTCAAGGGCAAGAACAGTAGGCATGCTGTGACCACGCCCACATTTATCTGGCTTGACACTAGAGGAGAAAGTCCCCAAGGATAGATCTTGAACTTGCTTTATCTGCAGAGTAGGGCCTGGCACACAGTGTATGTTCCCTAAAGGTCTGTCCTGTGCTTAAGGAAGTGAATGATTAACCTCTGACCTTTCACTTAGCCCCGCAGTCAGAGGTCACTCCACATCTTTATTGTGAACCTCAGTGGAGCGACTGTGTGAGAAACCTGGTCTTTGTGCCCGACTCCTTCCACCCGAGACCCCCCTATTGAGGGAACCATGCCACTGAATTCCCTTTATCTCCATATCCTTGCCTTCAATAGCCCAGTTCCTCTGACTAAGGCTCTGGGATTAGCATTAAACCTGAGGCCTCCCCAGGCCTTCCACTACTATCTCTATTCTCAAAGATCTTCCCTGTGGACCCGAGACCCTCAGCTCACTGTCCATCCCATCCAGGCCTTTGGTTCTGGACTTCTTTTTCTTAGACTTACTGGCTGTCTACTGTATGCCAGGCACAGTTCTGAGCCTTTGACACCTATTACATTAACCTGTTGAACTCTCACAACCACAAAGCAAGGAGGGCACACCACAGGTCCCAATTCACAGACTAGAAAACTGAAATTGGAGAACTTCAGCAATTCAGCCCTCATGGCAAGATTTGAGTGCACTCTCCGAACTTGGATGGAAACCATTCCAATCCTGTGGGGCCTTTGATGTCCCCAAACTCAGGACATGCTATCTTCTGGAAACCGTTCTGTCTTTCTTTACCCCCAGGCAGGTGAGGAGCCAGCTGAATGCCTACCTGTGTGTGTTCCTGGGGCCCCGGAATGCCAGAGAAGGGACCATGGCCTGGTGGGATGGCCATGGTGGGCTCAGAGGGCCGCAGGGGTGTGAGGCCTGAAGCGGGAGCCCGGCTGGAGGGCGCCTTCTCGCATCCTGCACCTCGGCTGCCACCGCCGCTGAGACCTGAGAGCAGGTAGGAGGTGGGGAGACAACAAGGAACAAGGGTTTGTGGGTGAGGGCCATGCAGGGAGGATGTTAGCATAAGGAGAGGCAAGGCACAGAGGGGGACAATGAGGTGAATGTGGCAGAGCATCAGGTAGCAATGCAGAGGGAACAGAAGTGACAGGTGGGAGAGAGGGCTGGCACAGCAGTCCCTCAACAGATGATGGGCCAGATAGACGAATGAGTCAACACCACGAGAAGATGTAAAAGGGAATAAGTAGAGCCAGACGGGTGGGAGAGATGGGTTACAAGTCACGGCAGGAGGGACAGAAAGGGGCCAATATTGAAAAAGAAAAGATAGAAACCACAGAGTATGGGCAGTAGGATCCATTCTTCAAACTTCTACTGGTGGCTATCTCAAGGATCCCTCACAAGGCCCCACCCTCAACATCAGGATCTTCTCCCAGGTCACTGTGAGGCCCCCTCACTTTATGCCTACTCTACCCACTATTTCTTCCTACTCCAGAGAACTCTAGGATCCCCCAAACTACAGCCAAGAGTCCCCTCCAACCACACCAGGGTCCTTGTGGACTTCCCATCAACACCAAGGTTATCTGAGAACTCTTATGTGAGTGTCCTACAGATGTCTCAATCATCAGGGCACCTTTCCCAGGGGACCATCTCCAAGCCCTGCCAAGACCTAGACCTCTTCTCCACCAGGTAATCTTCCTACCCCTTATCACACCACGATCTATCTTCCCATTACTCTAAGACCTCCACCCAGTCCCACTCCTCATGGGAGCAAGGGGGAGGTGTCACTTCTCCAGTTAGTGTCACTGTTCTTCCCCCCACCCCCCACCCCGGATCTATCCCGATTATCCAGTATTACCAAACCGGGTCATTCTACAATTGTGCCTCTATTCCTAGAAGGGCCTCACAACGAAATCGCTAATCATCACAGAAGACTCCTCTCCAGAACGAAATCCTCTCCCTAGGAGCCTCCCCCATGTCAGATCCCTTCTATCCAAGCCTTGCCACTCCAGGTCCCCTTCTTTCACGTGGTGTCCCCCAAACCTCCTCTTCCCAGGCCTTCCCATACTGGAACTGGCTCGCCCAGCACCCACCCCTACCCGGGTCAGGGCTGGCGCCGGGCCCACGGGGGGCTGGGGCGCGGTGGGGCCCCCAGTGCGGTGGGCGAGCGGCCAGCATGGCGGTGGCGAGAAGGTGGCCGCCTGTCCCCGGCCCGGCCGGCCCGGCCAGCCGCGCGGCGGTGAGGGCAAGCGGGACAGGCGGCCCGGTGGGGGACAACAGCAAGCCGCCGCCACCGCCGCTGGGGGGCGGGGAGAGGTGGGGACGAGGGTCAGCCCAGGGCACGCGGAGGAAGGGGACAGCAGGTGGATGGGGGAGGGGCGGGTTAACCCTCGCCCGACCGGCCAGGCCCCGCCCCGTACGGCCACCCGCCCCCAGGGACCCTGGTGTCCCGCCCCCCACCCGGCAGGCCCGCCCCGGCCAGAGGAGTCCGGGCGGGAGGGGCTGACAGTTTGGCAAGCCGCACCTCCCATGGCAACAACCGTGCCATTGGCTGTGGCTGCCAAAGGCTCGGCCAATCAGCGCCGAGGGCAGCTGTTGCTAGGCGACGACGAAGCGCCCGTGCAGCCTAGCCCAAACAAAGGGCGGGAGTGGGGCCCGGCTGCCCCCTCCCAGACTCCCTCTCAGGACGGCTCCCCCGGCTCGGCCCCTTCCAGGAATCCGGCTATGAATAGCCGACAGGCCGCAGCTGCCAGACGCCCCCTCCTCCCCCTCTCCGTGCCGAGGCTCGCAGCGCGGGCAGGGTGGAGCCCGACCCACCCTCCCTTCGCCAGCGCGTGTTGCCCGTCGGCGCCGCACCGTTACCTGAGGGCGTGGGTAAGGGGACTCAGAGTGCTCGGGGAGCCCGAGCTCAGGCCTGCCCACTGGCTGAATGGGTCCGTCGGACGCGGCGAGCCAGGGCCCCGATTACCCAGTAATGCAACCAGCAAAATGGCGACCACAACAAACCGGCCCCCCGGTCCAGGCTCCGCCCCCACACCACTCACGTGACCCAGGGAAACACTGCGCGCCTGCGCTTTGAGGGCGCTGAGCGGCGCACATGCGTAGCAGCTACAGATGGAGCATGCACCATGTGACAGGATGAAACTTTCAAGCCCACCCCCCTCCCCAAGCACACACAAAGTTGATCAAGGACTCAAGCGTGTTTGCGGCCACAGAGCAATCAGCACCAGACAGGGGAGACAGATGAGTCTTTTAATAGAAAAAAAAAGTCACACGTGCAACAGTAGCAACACACATTTCTTCGAATCCAGACAGCATTGAGCTCCATTCAGTTCTTAGCTTTGGGAGGCGGCCTGTGAGGGAAATTGGAGATGAGATAGGGAGGGGTACCACACCCTGTTACCATTTTGGGGCCAAGGAAAGGGGGATGTCTACCGGTGCTCACCTGTACACACCCACCACCACAGCGTGGTCTCTCTCGTAGGGCTCTAGAGTCAGCTGTTCCTGGGGCTTCATGTTCTCCTGCTGCATTTTCTTCACTTCAGAGGCAAACACAGCTTCGGCAGAGGCTGTGGAGTCGATGCAGTTGGCCTACAGGATAAAGGATTTGAGGCCTGCAGTACAGCTCTGGGGTGTTCTTTCTGGTGGTTGTTTTAAGCTACAAGCATGTTTTCACAGAAATCTGGAGCAAGACCCAGGTTCTGGCAGTTACTAAATTTTATTACAGAAATTTTAAGGCAGTATTCAAACTTTAAACTCAAATTTTCTACTTCCTTTTAATAGTAGAAGCAGCTTGGAACAATAAAACAAATGTGGCAAAAGGCCAATTCTGAACAGTGAAGGTATGTGGGAGTTTTCTCTTTCAAATTAAAAATGTTCTAAAAAATGTACCTTGCACTTTTAATATTTATTCCATGCCAGATCTGTTCTGTTTAAACACTTCACACATTAATAACCCTACGGATAGGACTAATACTGCCATGTTACAAATGAACAGTAAAAAAGGGTGAAGTAACCCGATGGCACTCAAATAGCACAGAAGCCATCAAGCACTCACTCAACCTCTTGCCCCTCGAAATCCCAAGATAATCTAAATCCCAAAGATAACCCCATCTTAGATTCCAAGTCCCACACCTTAATGGAAATCACAAAGTGTCCTCCATTCCGCAGGAAGGTGTGGGCATTCAGGGCCACAATCCGGGTTTGGTCTGGCTGGGCCACGTCGGCAAAGATCACATCCACCATTGCTGAGGAGACAGGGACAGCGGTTACAATGAGGGGCTACTGGAGAACTTCCCTGAGCCTCCCGTGGGGGCCTGTGCTCCATCACCACCCAAGTTCCTGGGAGAGTCTCCCTGCCTCCAGTCGCACTCCCCACCAGATTCCCCGCCCTCCACAGTGCCCCCAAGATGGGTCAGAACCCACAGTCACTTCATTCATTCACTCCTCTTGTAAACCATGGTTGCCACCTACTCTGTGGCCAGCCCTGGGCTGGGCGTGGGGGACACAGAGACGAGTCAGACCCGGACCCTGCCCTCGAGATGCTCCCGGGTCTGGGGGGAGACAGACATGTCATCAAAAAGACAAGTAAAGGTGAGCAGTTCAAGCGTGGGCAGGACCGGGGAGTGGACAAGTGCATGGGGAAAAATGCACAGAAAGAAAAATGAGTGGAAGAAGTAATATTTTAAAGTAGTATGATTTTAAAAAAAAAAAAAGCCAAAACAAAAGTGATGTAATGAAAACATATCCTTTAAAAATCATGAAAGGCACATAGCAAATCTCAGTTACTCTGGGGGGATTCATAAGGCTGTCCATTTTTACACCAGACTTTTTTTTTTTTTTGGCTTTTTGAGACAAGGTTTCCCTGTAGCCCCAGCTGGCCAGGAACTCACTTTGTAGCCCAGGCTGGCCATGAACTCACAAAGATCCGCCTGCCTCTGCCTCCCAACTGCTGGGACTAAAGGCATGCGCCATCACGCCTGGCTTGTTTTTTTTTTTTAAAACAAAGCTGTTGGGCCGCACTTTGGGGGCTAGGATCTCATCAGATAATTCAGACACAAGCCATGGCGGTGTAAAAAGGACCAGCTTTTAGGAGACAGGAAGTGCAAGGGACTCAAAGGGGGAGATGAGAGCAGACTGGGTTTCGGACATCCAAACCCCTGAAGCAGTCTCCAATTCTATCTCCTCACACTCCTGTAGGTAGGAGGCCTGCTCACCACTAACTTCAACCCAGGCTCCACTGGCCTCTTCTGGGAAACATGCAGTGGCTCATCCTACCTGCCCTGGGCCACCCCAGACCCCTCACCGATGAGCATGCGGTATTTATGTGGGTGCCGGGCATCCTCAATCACAGGAATAATGTTGGTCCTCTTCTTGGCCAAGTTAATGAGGTCACGGCCGGAGCGGTGGGAGAACTCAACTGCATAGACTAGGCCATCCTAAAATAGATCCAACAGTGACACTGGTTCTCATGTATAGGGAGCTGACAATGGGCTCATGAACCAAAAACTGGTCTTCAGACCAGCAAAACCCTACTACATGGGGCTAGAGATGGCTCAGCAGTTAAGAGAATTTCTTGCAGCAGACCTGGGTTCAAATCCCAGCACCTACACAGTGGTTAACAGCCGTTTGTAACTCCAGTTTTAGGGGATCCCAACAAACTCTTCTGACTGACATGGGTGCACTTACATACATGCAGGTATAACACACACACACAACACTACCACTTAAAAACTATTAAAAAAGTTAAAAATTTTTTTTTAATTTTTATGCATATATTTGAATTGCCTGCATATACGTAAGTGCACCTGTGTTGTGCAATGCCATGGATGTCAGAAGAGGGTCCCCTAGAACTAGAGATTTGGATGGTTGTTAGCTACTGTGTGGGTTCTGGGATCTGAACCTAGGTCCTCTACAAGAGCAGCCAGTGCTCTTAGCTGCTGAGACGTTTTTCCAGCCCCTTAACAACTATTGTTATGTCCACATTCCAGATGAAAAAACAGGCCTAGAGATAGGAAGTCACCTGCCATGGGTTACTAGCAAGCAACAAAACCATAAGATACCTGACCTGAGAGAGTCCAGGGTCCCAACAGAGGCTAAAATCCAGACAGCCAGGGCAGAGATGAGGGGATGGAGCTAAGAGCATTTGCTATCAGGCCAGCTTATAGGAACTACAGGCCGAAAGGAGGCTGAGCGCCCAGGTGCCTAGCTGAAAGCCCATCATGGTTAAAAGTCTATGGAAGAACCCTGAGTTTCGTTTTTGTCTTTAAGCAGGGCCTCACTATGTAGCTCAGGCTGGCCTTGAACCTGAAATTTTTGGGGGTGGGCAAGTTCAGACAGGGTCTCATATGTAGACCAGGCTGGCTTCACAGAGATCCACCTGCTTCTGCCTCTTGAGTGCTGGGATTAAAGGTGTGCACCACCATGCTCGGCAGAACTTCAGATTGTTGCCTTTGCCTCCAGCATGAGGTCACAGAGGTGTGTGGCTTCACACCTGGCCAAGCTTGGGATTTGCAACCACCAAATCATTAACAGCCTGTAACTGTGTGAACAAACAAGAGGCCTTGAAGCCAAATGCCCAAGAACCAGGTGCTCTCTGCTTCAGAAACCTGTATAGTCACACAGAAACACAGGCCCAGAGCATGAGGATTACTGGGTCTTTCTATTGAAACCAGGGGTATAGCTCATCAGCAGAGTACCTGCTCAGTATGCAGGAGACCTAGGTTTAATTCCCAGTACCGGAAAAAAGACTTTAGGAACATGGTTTTGGGTATATGTGTGCACCCAGGCGTGTGTAGAGGCCAGAGAACAGCTTAGGTGTTATTCCTCAGGAATGCTGTCCATCTCATTTTTGAGACAAGGTCTCTCATTGGCTTGTCTCAGCTTCCCTACTGCTGATAATATATTCCTAGCTCTGAGTCATTCTAACCCTGGCCACCCCATGCTCACACCTCCTAAGGTCAAGAACACAGGAGTGGGGCTGCATGGGAATCCCCTTCAAGCCGTTCCACTTATACAGGTATGTGAGGGACAGACCTGGCTCTGCATCACAAAGCATGGATGTGGCCAGCCCAGTTCCCTCATCTCCAACCTCATCCACTTACCGGGCCTACAATGTCAGAGACGTGGGAGACAGTGGTGCCTGAGGCTGCTCCAAGATAGAGCACCTTGGCTCCTGGCTTGATGTGGATCTGATCCACACCGCCCAGGATTGCTGCTGCCAGCTTGGAGCGGAAGGGGTTCCAGGCACGGTACTCAATTTTGTCATCTCCCTCCTGGCCCAGAAGAGAAGGGAATAGAAGTCAGTGCTGGGTTCTTGTACAGGATCCCACTGCCCTTAACCCTCGAAAGAAATGGTGCTTTCCAATCACTATACAACAACTGAACGCAGATACATGGCAGGGGCCAGGACAGGTGTGGCCCTCATGGAAGCTGCTGATTTGGGGAGAAGAGAGAGCAACATACAGTAAACGTAAAGGGTGACAGGAAGACCTGGGCACTTAAGTCCTTTTCTGTCCCAGCACCTGCCTATTGGCACCCCATTCCAGACAATGGAGACCTAACAGTGAACAAGAGAGAGCCTGCCCTCAAAGAACAGGTACCACTAAACTAGTACAAGCTGGCAGAGCAGACAGTGACAGGTGCTATATACAGGCCAGGAGAGATGGTTTGAAATGTGGGGAACAGAGCAAGAAGGGGTGAAAAGGAGAAAGTGGGCAAGGAAGACCAAAGGGACTTTTGAATCAGACCTGGAGGTGAAGAGGGAGCCACCCACGTCATCTGGGGAAGAGCACTGCAGGCAGAGGGGAGGTGAGCAGAAGGCCTCAGGCAGGCAGGCGCGTGGCTGGCCATAGAGAAAAGTACATGGGAGAACTAGGGCTGGGATGGGGTGGGCTGCTTTAGACAGACAGGGTGATGTGATGTGGCCTTGTCAGAAAGGTCAGGTAGCATGTGACCAGAGACAGGTGACAAGAAACCAGCTTAGTATGGAGCCAGGAGAGGGCAGGGCGAGGAGGCCAGGGAATTGGGGGCAGTGAGGGATGGGAGCTGGAAATGTAGCACTCTGAAGCCACAGCGGGGAGCCTGGGAAGGCATGTGAGGAGGGGATCTATGTGTTATGGTCATACTGTCAGCTGGGATCTGGTGGTGTGGACCAGGATCCAGGACTCACCGAAATAGAGACTCTCTTCTCCCCATAAACAGATTCTCCAGGGACCAGATTCTTTGTGACAAGGGCATCTTCCTTTCCACGACATATGAAGACACCTGGTGAAGGGAGAGAAGCAGAGCAGGGCTGAGGATCCTGTAGCCCATCTCCAGGTCAGGCTGGTTCCCCACCTCCCTTGCTCACCTTCATGCCGGTGGGGCTCTACCATCACATTCTTCCCTGCCTGGTTTCCTCTTTTGCCTCCCCGGCCACCACGGCCCCGGTTGCCCCCAGACTGGAAGCCCCCACCTGCAAGAGAGAGCTGTAGGAGAGGGAGCCCCCCCTCCACCTCTGCCCCCTCCAGCCCCCCCAGCTTCACTTACCTCTTCCCCCTCCTCCACCTCCTCGGCCTCTGAAGCCTCCGCCACCACCTCGGCCACGACCCCCACCAAAGCCACCACGGCCACCGCCAAAGCCTCCTCGACCTCCTCGGCCTCCTCCTCGACCACCTCTGTCACCAAAGCCTCCTCTGCCGCCGAAGCCGCCCCCACGGGGGCTGAAACCTGCAGCGGGAACAAAAACAGCAATCAGAGAAACGAGGCTTAAGAAGCTAAACAAACCTTCCCCGCCAGTTCCACACAGGTGAGAAACTTGCCAAGCACATTTCTGTGTACTTCGGACACTATGTTTACCATGGCAGAGTGCAGGCCAAACCCAAGGCCCAGCAGCAGAATGGACAAGTAATGGGAGGGCCAGCCATCAATAAGACCTTCAGGTGTACAGCACACATGACACACCGGAGTTGCCTAACAGTAGGTGAACAAACTTAATTACTAGAAAACCACAAAGGCACACAAGCAGAGGTTTTGTTTTCTTGAGATAGGGTCTGGTGTCACCTAGGCTGGCCTTGAACTCACTATGCAGTTGAGGATGACCGTGAACTCCTGATCCTCCTGCTCCACTTCCCACTATGCCTGGCATGATTTCTCTCTCTCTCTCTCTCTCTCTCTCTCTCTCTCTCTCTCTCTCCCTTTCCTCCTTCTCCTCTTCTTTCCCCCCTTCTTTTTTGGTCTTTTTGAGACAGGGTCTCCCTGGAGCCCCAGCTGGCCTTGAATTCATAGAGATCTGCTTGCCTCTGCCTCCCAAGTGCTGGGACTAAAGGCATGCACCACCACACTCAGCTTGGCATGATTTCTTTATGAAGCACAGAAGCAACCAAACTCAACAGTGCTGTGCTGTATTCAAGAAAGGGGATGATAAAGGCCAAACATGCCCCATGCTATCTACAGATCTTGTTTTCTTGGTGGACAGTTACAGAGCTCATTCTAGTACTGGTGAGCCCTGCCATGCCCTAGGGGCATCTTCATCACTTCCCACAGGGACTGTTTATCTGGAATAAAAGCACAACCCCCAAAGACAGTTCCTGCTAACCCACCTCTGCTTCTAAGCTTGCAACATTTCTCATAGGCTCAGGGGGGGAAATAAGACTCTTTCCCACCAATTTTCCTTTTAAGGATGGGCAATGGCCTAATGTTTATCAGTAAAATCAGTTTGCACTTGAAGCCAGGCAAAGTGACACATGCCTACAATTCTAGCATGGGAAGGCTGAGGCACGATTCTGAGTTTGAAACCCGTGTGGGCTACACAGTGAGATCTTGTTTTGCAAAAAAATAAGGTACAGTAAACCATAAGTTTGAAGATTAGTAACCATAAAGTAAACCATAGCTTGAAGATTAGTGATAGCATAAAATGGTCTCATGATGTAAACTGTCATTAATAAACTTGTTTAAGGTTTTGTAAAGGTGCCTTAGGGCTATATCCTATGATAATCTCTTGTACCCTATTGGAATTTGAAACAAAACTGTAACTTTGCTTTTTCTCCTTTTATTTTGTTTGCTTGTCCCCAATTCCCTTTTTGAAAATGCTACTTAAGGAGGTAGGTACTGTAGTTCAGTAGTTCAGCAATTGCCTAGCATGTGCTGCCCCCAACCTACAAAACTTAGTACCTATTCCTAATTGAATTGTAAGCTAACAGTAGAAGCTGCTTACTCTGCTGACTACCTTCTACTCCCCCTACAGTCCACTTCCCACATAGCAGCCAGTGCTAGAGATCTGATCATGCAAAGGAGCCCAGCCCAGATCCCTCCCAGAGCTTTCCATCTTATCCAAAGAAGTCATAATTCCCTTCCCAGGCTCACAAAGCAAACAAACCCCTCTATCCCTGAGTCTACCCCATGACAAGATCCACCATGGGAAGGACCTGTCCCCACTGGGTTCTGACTTCACAGGCCCCTTGGTCTACCCCATCAGCTCCTACATCTTTAACATGGAGGGTTTCTACTTTCCAGCTCCTGCTGGTGAGCATGGTGCTCGCTTCTCATTGCACTGATGACTTGGGCCATCTCCCAGCTACCTTGCTTTATTTCTCTTCATATTAATTATAGATTGAATAATGGCATTGCTGCCCCATCCACAATGATTTCTAGTTCTGGTCACCCTGGTACCCAGTGCCCTGCAAAATAGATGATGCCAAGGATGATGCTCAATGGACAGCAGGAGGTCTCTGCTGATGACTTCTTTTTTGACACAGGGTCTAAAGAAGCAGAGGCTGGCCTTGAATGTGCTATGACTTTAGATTTGTGATCCTCTGAAGAGCTCCTACCTGAGGGCTCACCAGCTCCTCTTGGATTTACGTGGTACTGGATTAATCCCAGGGCTTCTAGCATGACAGGTAAACACTTTACCAACTGAGTCCAGCTGTAAAGTATTCCATACAGGAAGACAGTCCTTCACCACCCCAGATAGTAGGGAAGGTGTGTCGAAGTACACTGTTTTTGTTTTTATTTGTTCTTTTTGAAACAGAGTCTCCCTGTAGCCCCAGCTGGCCTCAATCTCAGATTGGCCTGCCTCTGCCTCCTGAGTGCTCGGATTAAAGGCGTGCACCACTATGCCCCACTGCATAGGAGTTAAGTTGTAAAGATTAATAGACTTAGTATACAAAAAGCTACATCACACACAGCCTGGCACACAGCCTGAACCCAACTTCCATTCATTAAGAATGAATCCTCTCTCCCTGCTACTTAGGGGCAAACCCACTAGCCAGACTGATGAGACATTCCACCCTGGCCTGACCTGGGAAGTATATCTCATAGGGTGCAGTGGGCAGGAGCATAAACTTTCAGGTCCAGATACTCTAATTCAATTTGGGTCCTGGGGTTTTTAGAAAAATGTACTAGAAGGTATCCACTACTCAGAAAGACCTCCATGCTTACATATATGTTAATGGTTTAGAATCTGCTTTCCTCCTAGAGCCGTCCCACTTCAAAGCTGCCAACTATAGCTAGGTGTGGGTATTACGCGCCTGCAATCCCAGTACTTTGGAGGTCAAGGCAGGAGGATCGGGAATTCAAGGTCATCCTCCACTAAGGGGGACTCCTATGTTGGGGAGTCCACTGGATCCCTCCTGCCAGGTCACATCATCATTTGTTTGAGGAAAACTGTCTGCTCCCAGCAAATCACTGGTACATAAAAGCAAGGATCCCCTTTAATGGATGTGCTGATGTTATTCTAGAACAGAGGAGGCTTATGGAAGATCAGGAATTTGAGGCCACAGCCTGGGGCTACACAACAAAATCCCATCTCAAAACACAAAACAAAAAAGGAGACTTGATCCCCTTTAAAAATGCCCACCGGGGGCTGGACAGATAGCTCAGCAACTGAGAGCACTGGCTGCTCCTAGAGGACCCAGGTTCAATTCCCAGCACCCACAGGGCGGTTAACAGCAGTCCTGAACTCCAGTTCCAGGGAAATTCTACGCCTCTTCTGATCTTCATGGGCACACTCACATACATGTAGGCAACACACTCAGTTACATAAAATAAAAATAATAAATATTTTTAAAATGCCTACCAGACTGCAGCATACATACCCTTGTTTTAAAATCTCCCTCAAGCCACTTTTGTTACTCAAGATTCAACTGTCACTTTAGCACTGACTGCTTCACATTCTACATTGATGGAAGAAGGTTGACTGAGAGGTTCACCCTCCATTCTGCAGGGGAATCACAGACTAGAATGCCTGCCAGCATGCGAGCCTCTTAGGATATAGAGCCCAGCAATCCCTCTGCCCTACTTCTGGAGACTCTCCAAACACCAAAGTGGAGTCCTGGATACACAACCAGTCCCGGAGGTATCCCCATCCTATCCACAAGAACGTGCACACACAAGAGAAGAAACTCTCATTTAGAGGGAGGGTGGGGGCTGAGCAGGCCTGACTTTGGAAGCTCCTGGACACCAGCAGAACCTTACCTACAAGAGCCACTACCATTATATGCCAAGCACTGGGCTGTTTTCTTTTTTTAAATTATCTCCCTTTAATCCTAACCAGGGGTCATTATTTCCATATATATTTTTTGAGACAGAGCTCTTGCTAATGTATTCCAGGATGGCCTGGAAATCACTAATGTAGCAGACTGGTGTCACACTGGTGGTCCCCCTGTCTCAGCCTTAGTGCTGGGACAGACAGGTAAGTATGTGCCACTACTGACCAGGATGACATATTACCGATGAAAAAAGCCTGAGCCTCTGAGGGAAAGTCATTTATCTAAGGTCACACAGTAGGCTAGGAAATCAAGACCAAAAAGAAAAAAAAAAAAAAAAGACGAATGACCCCTTCTGTCAAAGCCAGGACCCAGCAAGGAAAAAACCCTGAGCCTCTGAGGGAAAGTCATTTATCTAAGGGCACACAGTAGGCTAGAAAAACAAGACCAAAAAAAAAAAAAAAAAAAAAAAAGACGAATGACCCCTTCTGTCAAAGCCAGGACCCAGCATTCCACCACGCAGCAGGGTCATACCAGAAAACCGCGGGAAACAGATGCATAAAACCACTCGTGTCCCGTGACTACCCCCCACCCCACTAATGCGTGGCTTAAAGTTTCTGTGACCAAGGAGTTGGGACTCTTAGGTGCCCCTAGAAGATCGTCACTCATCTCTAGGGACCCGCCCCTCCCGGAAGCGCAGCAAGCGGGATCGTGGGCCCAGAAGCGAGGCACAGTACCCAAACCAGGGGTCCTCATCCACTCGGGCTCCTCTGGAGCAGCTGGGGTGGGGACCAGGGGGATGATGATGATGGGCGACAGGGGAGGCTTCTGGGGGCTCCCCAGACCCAGCTCCGACCCCAGTCGGATTCACCAAAGCCACACCCAAGACACTGGATGAGGGTTCTGAGTAGCGTGCCCGGTCCAATACAAAACAAACCCTAGGGGCCGTGGGCACCAGCCGAGCCCCGGGTCACGACCCTCAGGCTCCGGCCTCGGGTCTCCAGCCACTCCGGCGGGCTCAGGAGCTCCGCCCGGCCCTGCTCGCAGCCTCGCAGCCCGAGGCCCGTCCGCCCCGGCCTGGCGCCCCGCTCCGCCCGCTCCCGCTCGTGCCGGCCTCTACCTGGCTTCATCACTGCTCTCCAGGCGCGCGGCTCCGGGAGTCTGCGGCGTCCCTGACTCCACGAGTCTCAGGCTTTCGCACGTGGAAAGGAGCGCATGCGCGCGGCGACGTGCGGCGCATGACGCAACCGCGTAGCCCCGCCCGAAGTCCTGAGCGAGTTCTGTGCGACTCCTGAGCCTCTGGCGGTTCCGTCTCCTCTCTCTTCTCAAAATTCCAAGTAGTCTTTTCTACCCCAAATCCGCTTTGAGTTTGTCCTTCGCCAGGGCCCAAACCTTGTGTTTCTTTGTGGATTTTGAGACAGGGTCTTCTTGTAGCCCCAGCTGGCCTGGAACTCACTATGTAGACCAGGCTGGTCTTGAACTCACTATGTAGACCAGGCTGGCCTCCATCTGTGCCTCCCGAGTGCTAGGATTAAAGGGGTGCGCCTCCATGACCAGCTAGCCTTGTTTGTTTTTGAGGTTTTTGAGAAAGGGTGTCTGTGTAGCCTCAGCTGGCCTGGAACCCACTATGTAGCCCAGGCCGGGGCTGGCATAGTAATTTGCCCGCCTACAGTGCTGGGAGTAAAGGTGTGCACCACTATGCTCGGCTGAGTTTTTTAAAGATAGAGCCTAACTGTATAGCCCAGGCTGGACTGGAGCTGGGAATTCTGCTCAGCCGTTCATCAGCTCCCAGGCTCCACCTCTGTGTTTCTCTTTCCTTAGAATTTCCTCTACTCTCAAAAAACCTTCCCTCAGTGATTTCCAAGAAAGACTCCCCCTTCTGGATACCCATTCATACCTTAGAAAAACTTTGACTGGGGCTGGAGAGATGGCTCAGTGACTAACAGCACTGACTGTTCTTCTAGAGGATCTGTGTTCGATTCCCAGCACCCACATGACAGCTAACAACCATCTGTAACTCCAGTCCCAGGGGATCTGACACTGTCTTCTGACCACCCTGGACATTGCATAACATGGGTGCATTTACATACATGCAGGCAATACACTCATACACATAAAAAAAAGTAATAGAATTAAAAAAAAAAGAAAAACATGGCTGGGCATGGTGGTCCATGCCTTTAATCCCAGCAGTCAGGAGGCAGGGGCAGGCGGCTGACTGTGAGATACATACATAGCAAGTTCCAGGCCAGCATTTACTGTGCATCATTTTGTAAAATATATTTTACACATTTAGTATTTTTATTTTATGTGTATGAGTGTATGTATGTGTATGTGCATGTATGTGAGTGTGCCCTTGTGCAGTGCTGTGGAGGTCAGAAGAGGGCATCGGATTCCCAGGAACTGGAGGTAAAAACGGTTTGTAAACTGGCATGTGGGTGCTGGGAATTGAACCCGGGTCCTCTGCAAGAGCAGTCAGTGCTCTTAACCGTTGAGCCATTTCTCCAGCCCCCCTATTGTGCATCATTTTTAAAAAGATTCATCTATTTTTATTTTATGGGTATGAGTGTTGGCTTACAGATATGTTTTGTGAACCTCTTCAGTGTGGACCCCCTTGGAGGCCAGAAGAGGCATCAGGTCCCTGGAACTGGAGGTATAGAGCTGTGTTAGCCTCCATGTGGTGCTGGGAACTGAATTCAGGTCCTCTGTTAGAACAGCCAGTGCTCTTTAACTGCTGAGCCACCTCTGCAGCCCCTACTGTGCATCTTCTTTTTTTCCTGGTCTTTTTGAGACGGGGTCTCCCTGTAGCCCCAGCTGTCCTGGAACTCAACTATGTAGACCAGGCTGGCCTTGAACTCACAGAGATCCACCTGCCTCTGCCTCCCAAGTGCTGGGATTAAGGGTGTGCGCCACCACACCCAGCTCTGTGCATCTCCCTTAACAGATTCCTTTCTAGCTGCTGGAATACCGCAATGAACTGTAAAGCTCTTGGGGCTGGAGAGATGGCTCCAGTGATTAAGAACACTGGCTGTTCAATTTCCAGAGGCCCACAGAGGACTCCGGTTCGATTTCCAGCATCCACATGGTGTCTAGCAACCGTCTGTAACCCTAGTTCCAGGAGAATTTGATGCTTTCTGACCTCCGAAGGCATTGCACAACATGGGTGCACTTGTACACATGCAGGCAATACACTCATATACATAAAATTAAAAAAAACAACACCACCACCACTCTCTGGGAGACAGTGCTCACTGAAGGAGACAGACTGCAGGCTGGTTAATAAGCTGAATGTTAGAAGGCAGTAAGTACTTTTGAGAAAAAACAGCAGCAAAGGGGTGTGTGTGTGTGTGTGTGTGTGTGTGTGTGTGTGTGTGGTTTTCTTTTAACAGGCAGGCCAAGAAATGAATCAGGTAACTTGAGAGCGCTAAAGGAGGTGAGGGATGAAGTGTGCACCTGTAGGGGAGAAGAGATGCCAGACAGGGAGGGCTGCAGGTACAAAGGCCCTGAGGCAGCACAGATATGGGGGGTGGTGGAAAAATGGTGTGAGCAATGGGGAGAGAAGACAAAAGGAGTTAGTAAGGGCAGATTTGCAGGACCTTGTGGGCCAGGTGAAAATGTTGGTTTTCACTTTGTGTAGGATGGAGCCATGGAGGGCTCCTAAGTGGAGAAGGACTATTAACTGTCACGAAGTCACTTGGGCCATATATAGGAAAGTCCATGGGAGGAAGGATGGTAGAAGGAAGGCCCCCTACAGTAGACCAAGGAAGAGACAAGGACTGATCTGAGAGAGTGGGGGCGGAGGGTGGGATGAGCCCTGAAGAGATTTTGTGTGTTTAGAATCTTGTGCTTTACCATAACCCATTCATATCCGTCCTTATTCCACAAGGGAAAATAGAAGTGCTGCCACGACACATTACCAGAAACCTGCTGAAGCCTGGTCAGACTGCGGTTCCACTATTGTGTCTGTTCCCTTCATTGCTATATCACTGCAACCTCAGAACAGGCCTGTGGATCTGCAGAAGTGTTTGTTGAGTGAATGATCAAACCCACCTGTGGAGTTCTCTGCAGGGTGTTCTGATTGTCCAATACAGCCACTTTACATAGAAGTAGTCCTGAATATTTGTTTACACACTGAGATAAAATTTTTCTTAAACTTCAAAACTATGGGATGAAATAGGTATATTCTGGATTTCTTGGAGCTGTGCAGTATTCAGATGGATCCAATATGGGATAGTGTTACTTGGTCCTTACAGATTTTACTGTTGGTTGGTTTCTAATCATGTTTTTCTTCTAAAGGACAAAAATACCCGGAGCACAATTCGGATTTGGGTTGTGACAAATAGCGTGTCACTATTTACCATGGAGATGTGAACAAACAGCTACTCACCCCAGATAGGGAACTGACAACAGACTGAAGTAAGGGTGCCCCAAAGTCTAACGTGGTGAACCAATGAGTTTTTTGGGGGAGGGGCATTTCTTACAGGAGTATGGGTGAGGGGTTCCTTATCGGAGCAGGACTGACTCAAGACATCTGTATCTCCAAAGCCTACCCCAGCATGAGTGACAGCTCATGAAGACCTGGAGTGCAGTGAACAGCCTGCCGGCAGCTCACAGGTTGGAGTTTCCTTTCCAGGCAGCTCAGCTGGTCTGAGCCTCTTCTGGGCAGGTCTGCTTACTTCAGAAGGCCTCAGCTGTCCTCAGGACTTACCTAAGCTCGGGGAGGGAGGGATCTACTGCCTCTGCTCAGTTTCTGGAACTTCTGAAGCTTCTTGGTTACTTCCTGAAATCTTAAAAACAATTTTTGTTGAGACAGGATCTCACTATGTAGCTCCAGATGGCCTGGAACTTGCTATGTAGACCAGGCTGGCCTCAATCTCATAGAGATCTGCCTGTCTCTGTTTCCCAAGTGCTGGGATTAAAGGCATGCAGCATCATGCCTGGCCTTTTTAAAAAAATTTATTTTTGAAGGAGTGAGTTGAACTCGGAAGAACTGCAGGTTGAGAGAGATCCAGTGGAGTAATTTCAGAATGAGGAGATTTAAGCCTAGATTCTATAACCACAGCCTTAAACACCAGAACTCTGCATTACTGGCATTGCCTACTGCCTGTCCATGTTTTTTTTTTTCTTGTTTTGTGTTTTGTTTTCTGAAACCGGGTCTCACTCTGTAGCTCAGGCTGGCTTGGAATTTGGAGCACACCTCTGTCTCTGCATGTGTGGTACTGGTGGTGAGATTTCTTTACTGTTCATTTTGTGCCTATAGCATGTGGTTTGGTTTCAGATGGGTTTTTTTTTTTTAGCTGAGTTTCATGCCCCATCATCCCTGAGTGATAACCCCCCCATTACTACTTTTAGAGCCTTGATAATAAAATGAAATTATTAATAGACTAAAAAATTTATTTTTATTTTATGTGTATGAGTGTTTTGCCTAAATGTATGTAAGTGCACCACATGTGTGCAATGCCCAAGGATGCCAGAGGAGGGTGTCAGATCCCCTGGAACTGGAGTTAAGGATGGTTATGAGTAGCCACGTGGGTGCTGGGAGATGAACCCAGGTTTCCTGCAAGAGCTCTTAACCACTGAGCCATCTCTCCAGCCTAGTACTTCCTGAATCGTAACAAGCCTGCCTTTAGAGCGTCTTAACTACTGGAAAGAAATTGCTATTGGGAGGAAACAACAGTTGCCAGTTCTCTTGGAATCCTGGCACCAACTTCTGGTTCTGAAATGGTTCTGATGCCAACTTGCTAGTGGACTTGAAATTGGCACTAATTAGTGGAGGCCTGCCTGCTGCTCTTGGGCAAGGGATGAAACAGTGACTGAATAGCCCTCATCCCTGCCTTCCTGAAGCTGCCAGTCCAGTGGGGAGGAAGACTAGTCCCTACACTAGCCCAAGAGTCTTTGGGGCCAGCGTGATAGTTTGGGTCTGGCATCTTTGAAGTCTCATGCATTGAGGTCTTGGTCCCCAGCTGGTGACACTGTTGGGAGGTGGTTATCATTAATGCTACAGGAAGGCAGCTGGCCTGGCTCCTTTCACTCTACCTGGATATAGATTGTGATTGGACAAGGTGATGCTCTGCTAGTGTGGGTAGTCCTGGACTCCTGAGTGCCCAAGGTGTGAGGGATGGAGGTTTTATAAACCAGAGGTTTATAGCTCCAAGCTCTGAGACTTACAGTTCCAGGGCTCAGGCTGGAGGCCTGTTTATTGTGTGTAGGTTGTGTGTGTGTGTGTGTGTGTGTGTGTGTATGTGG